GATTGCTCTTTGAGTACATGGTGACATGAACATGGCTGTAAGTGTTTGCTTCCATTGAGCCATATCTTAAGTGGATTATTACATCTTGCAGGACTCCAACTACGTATTCACAGATTTTTCCAAAGCCTTTTCTCACTTTACAACTTCACACACATTATGGAAGTATACCTGTGTCATCAGGACTCACATATTGTGTTTTTTTTTTAAGTTTCTTTGTAATTTAATTGATAAAACAAAAAATGGTACTGTAAGGTTGATTTGATTTGTTTATTCGAACTTTAGGAAGACTAAATATTTTTCCACGTGTATTTTTTAAAAAGAATTACAGTATGATATCAGAAAAGAATCCTATAGAGTACACGGTGGCCTTTAAAGAATTCTAAAATAAAAATTCACACTATATAACATATAGTGTGATATGTTAAGACATAACTTTGTGATATGAAAAAGACGTAACTTTTTGCCTATGAAAAAATCCTCTTCGATTTCATTCTCACCATTAAGTATTTTTAAAACCTTGGTCAGGAGAACCCAGAAAACATCGAGTTAACTCCCTGTTTTGCCTATCCTGAATAAGTATGGAAGTTACTGCTTGCAGAAAGAATCCTGGGATTCAGATTGGCCTCTTGTTGCCTGGTTACGAAATTTGAGGAAGGTCAATTACCTATTTCTGTAACTGTTTCCTCATCTGCCAAAAAGGAACAGTAATGTTTTTGTTTGTTTTTACTCAGCTGATAGGAATGCTATGAAGGCAAAACTGCATAAGTAATCATCAATCTTATATAAGGTTTAAGATCTAATTGAAAGAATCCCAAAATATAAGAATCTCTCTCCGTGTGTGTGTGTGTACATGTGTTGTATCAACCAACACTTACTAAATCCAAACACAGTAGCACTCCCTGAAGTAAAATCCTGACATTGCCTATTCTTCTTCAGTCCTGCCATTTGGTAACAGCCCCAAGCTAAAAAGTGGTAACCTGTCCTAAGCACCATCCCGTTAGTGATGGGTGGTCCAAATCCATCACGACATCATAACAAGATTTCTGTGGCTAGCTAGTTTCTTATGATAATATAATTAAATCTGAAACAAGGGCTTTCAGCTCTTTGCTTTCCTAAATCTCTTCTTGACTCTTGAAAGTAACAGTTATATTTAATTTTTTAGGTTATTCAAGGACTATGCTTGCTCCAGTAATTTCCTTAGTCACTGTCCTAAAAGCACTCTTTTTTTTTTTTTTTAAGATTTCATCTATCCATTTGACAGAGAGAGAGAGAGCACAAGCAGAGGAGCTGCTCCGCTGAGCAGGGAGCCTGATGTGGGGCTCGATCCCCAGGATCCTGGGATCATGACCTGAGCCGAAGGCAGATGCTTAAGTGACTAAACCACTCAGGCGCCCCTCTAAAAGCACTCTTGAGGACTTGAAGAAGGTGAATTTAATGGATTGGAAAGAGAATTGGAGTAGACAGTTCTTAATTTTAGGCCATGGTGCTGTAACTGGCTTCCCAGATGTGAAATACTGGAAGCATTTCATGTATTTCATGGAGATGGTTTATGGATATGCTTACTATCTTTGTATAAAAGAGATGATAATAAATCACTATGGCTGACTCTGGTAGCCAAACTCACTGGTCCAGAAGTCTGTCATCACCTATGTGGGAAGAGTAAGTTACCCTTGACAGAGGTCTGGATGTATTTGGAGAAGTCACCTGGCTTTTCTGAGACCTGGATCCCTCCAACTAAAAAACATGAATAATGTTTGTTCATAGGATTCAAGCACTTTCCCTAATTCCTAAGACATACATATCTTTGAGAAGTGTCAAAACATATCATATATGTGTCTTCATAAACATGTATTCTGTTACATAAAATTTACAGCATTAAACGTGAAGATTTTGAAAATAAAGGTTCATATTATAATCTATACAAAAAGATTTTTTTGGGGTGTATTTTAAAAAAATTATTGGGGCGCCTGGGTGGCTCAGTCATTCAGCATCTGCTTTCGGCTCAGGTCATGATCCCAGGGTCCTGGGATCAAGCCCTGCATCGGCTCCTTGCTCAGTAGGAAGCCTGCTTCTCCCTCTCCCCCTTCCCCTTCTTGTGTCCCCTCTCTTGCTGTGTCTCTGTCAAATAAATAAATAAAATCTTTAAAAAAAAATTGGGGGTGCCTGGGTGGCTCAGATGGTTAAGCGTCTGCCTTCGGCTCAGGTCATGATCCCAAGCTCATGCAATCGAGCCCCACATCGGGCTCCTGGCTCAGCGAGGAGCCTGCTTTTTCTTTTTTTTTTAAATTTTTTTATTGTTATGGTTAATCACCATACATTACATCATTAGTTTTTGATGTAGTGTTCCATGATTCATTGTTTGTGCATAACACCCAGTGCTCCACGCAGAATGTGCCCTCTTTAATACCCATCACCAGGCTAACCCATCCCCCCACCCTCCTGAGGAGCCTGCTTCTCATTCTCCCTCTGCCTCTCTCCCTGCTCAGGCTCTCTCCTCTCTATCTCTATGTCTCAGATGAATAAATAAAATCTTTAAAAAAAAATTATTGACTGTATGAACGAGATATATATAATTGGATCAAAAAATCAAAACTCTTAGTTTAATATTTTTATAGAAAGGAAAGATAGCTTTATTTTTTCTCTTACCACAAATATTGCCAATATTTTTTTATTTCTGTGTGGCAAAATACCTCATATTTCCCAGAGACATAATTTCATTCAAGATATGCTTCAAACAGTATTGCATTTCTCATTCAAATGTTAGAGTATTTTACAAGACAGTGCAAAAATCCTAAAAAACAATTTTGAAATACATACATGAATTTTTATTTTTTAATCTTGCAGGTTTCTTGAGTTTATTCTGCCAGAGGGAAGTTTTCTAATATCAGGTGAATTAAGATAGATTCTGTTCCATAGATAGTTGGCTAGAATCTGCCTGAGCCCCATAAGTAATGCCATGTCGGTGGCTAAACGAAAGTTTAAGAACAATATCTCTGGAATGTCTCCCTTTCACGTGAAACTCCAGCTCTAAAAAAGCTCCTGAAAATGATGTATTTCCTATTTCCATAAACACAACCCCTAGACGCTCAGCCATATTTTCAGCAAATCCAAAAATAAACCCAGTTTCTCCAACTAGCCATTGCTCACTTAATATTCTGAAACACGATACAGCATAATGTTTTCTAAAGTTGAAGTATAAATCACAATTTTAAAGCACATGCTACCAATCTCTTCAGCTAAGGAAAGAAATGGGCGGAATAATAAGAGTGGTGCTGAGTCAGATTGAAAATTTAATAACTGAGGGGAAAAAGCAAAATATTAAAAAAGTAAAAGCTATAATATCTTAGAATTGTAACTATTTGATTTCAAACTTTTTTGGGTAATATTAAAGAAAATCATACTTTTGCTACTGGGGTATATTCAGTCATTCTAAGTGACAAACCTGGTGCCTCGAGCCAATAATTTAGTCTACAAATTTAGATCTACTACACAGATTTGAATTATTTCAGAGTTCCACTCTAAAGTTTACTGACAGTAGACTTTCCCATTTGAGCATCAAGGTTCAATAAGCACATTATTCTTTAGAAATTGGCTTCCTTCTTAGAAATTGGTTTCATACGAAGATTCCTTTTATCAATACATAAAATATTGCACTATGATTTGGTTACTATAAAAATAAAGGCATCAAATTTATTAAATGTCCGGCCTTTAGGGAAAATCAAATAGTTGAACCGAAGTTAACATCCTTTTTTGCCTCTCCTGCACGCACCCAGCAGATGCCATTTTTCAGAGCTGTGATCGCATTACGTCCGATGATATTTTAAACAAGTGCTATTTAATGCTTCACAAAATATGGAGGGTAAGCATGTCATCCTTTTGAGATAGATGACATAATAGTGTACTTTTTAAAAAAAGCATCATAAGAAAACAGATGACTGGATCTGAATCATTTCTTTTCTCCTTCCTTCATCTCTTATCCCCATAGCCTCCCACTTCCTGTGTCCTGTTCACACAACACATGTACTTCCTGAGATTCTTTTGCTTCTCCTGAGAGCACGGGAGAACAGAGACATCTTTATGATGAATCTAGAAGTGGCCAGGATTAGGAAGAGAGCTGAACAGAGAGTGAGCAGCACTCAGGGCTTTGGGGGACAGTGACAATAACACTGCTTGGGAGACTCAGAGCACAGTATTCTTCAGACTTCACCGAGGAAAATTTTATTTTATCATTATTTTTTAAAGATTTTATTTATTTTATTTGACACAGAGAGAGAGAGGGAGAAAGCAAGCACAAGCAGGCAGGGGAGAGCAGGCTCCTCACTGAGAAAGGAGCCTGATGTGGGGCTTGATCCCAGGACCCTGAGATCATGACCTGAGCCAAAGACAGCTGCTTAATGGACTAAGCCACCCAGGCACCCCCACTGAGGAAAATTTTAGCTAGACTAAGTCACAAAATCCCCCAAACTAAGAAAATCATTAGACATACTGAGATCGGTAAGATAAAACACACATTTGCTTAGCACTGATTTCCTGGCGAATGCAATTATTCATCAGCATTAGTCCACACAGCACCCAAGTACAAATTAGCAAAAGGGACCCCCCTTTTGGCGGACACCATGTGGGTAGGCGCATGGCTTGAGAGTGGAGCTGGGCTGGATTCCAACATCCTCTTGCCACCTCAAGCAGGCAGCATCGTGTAGAACATATTCTGAACAACTGGACATGGGGATCCTATTTACATAGGTCTTTCTTTTTTAGCACATTACAAATCCTAAGACAAAAATAATGTAACTGGAACATTTATCTATACTCATTGCAGAGTAGTACAGTGTCAGATTGAGAATGTAAGATTATCTATTGGCAAATGACAAATTCACTCAGTATAAATTCAGGTGAGCTGAAAAGGATACCTGATACAGATTCTTTGTAGTGAAGTCATCAAAGAACAACCAATAAAAGTCACTCTCCTTGTTTATACTAACAGGAGAGTGAATACTTACCACCATCTTCAACTGTAAAATGGAACATATCACTTGTGGCATTGGCCCCATCTTTTAAAACGTAGCATATTTTCATGTCATCAATGTCAGCTAGAAAATAACCCAAGAACAAGATGATTCATTACTAAGGTGAGATTGGTGACTCATTACTTATGGTAAATTCAATTGGCTCTTACTTCTCTGCAACCATGTTTAGGTTTCCTAATTCCAAGGGAAGCAGTGCTACATCTGATTTCTTCTATCTCTAAGCCCCTTGATTTCAGCTGTCCCACGGAAATCTGATCCCTTACCCAGATAGAGTGCAAGAGTTAGGCTATAATAATAGCAAGGTGTTGCCCCTCCCAGTGGTGTTTGCATGTTGATGCAATAAAGAAGTGACTGTCTAAATACGGAATGTCAGACTTCATGACAGGTGGAAAGGGAGATATTTTGAGGCATGAAAGATCTCCGGCACTACCAAAAATCACGCTCTTTACCTCCCTGGAGGGCGGCCCTCAGAGGAAAGAACTTCCCTGCCCTCCTCTGGCTAACTTTTCTTACCTCTTGCAAGGTTGTTTTTAAGCTCTCCAGAGTTCGAATGAAAAAAATAATAAAAGGCATTTTAAATCCCAAAGACTGAAATAACAGTCATGACCCCAGAAAGCAATTAGCATAGAAAACATCTAATAAAAACCGAAACTTTTATTCATAGTGAAAAGTTATCCTGCCTCAGGAAGGCTCTTTTGCTTTCTGCCCTAGCTCTTAAATATACCGGCATAGTTTGTTTTCAGTGATTGACTAACATACAACTTCAAAAATTTATTCACCCATTTTACTAGTTCCTCTCCTAAATTATGCAGCACAGACAACATAATAAACCAGTATCATCCTGTTCTGTGATGCTCGCACAATACACTGTTATTGACCTGGGCCAGGCAGTAAGTAGTTATTTCCAAGGCTACTTAAAATCAAGATCACAGCTAAGGGTAGCTTCCACAGTGGCATGTAATGTTTATGTGTCTCAGGGGGACTCTATAGTTTTTCCATCTTCTAAGAGGTCTACCAAGTTTGTGCTATCAAGTCCACAAGCATCGTATGTAAGAAAATGACTTTATGAAAGAATAAGCGCAAGTGATGTAAGGTACTGGCATCAACACTCCACGAATTTCTGTGACCCCATTTGACAGACGTGAAACGTACAAGCTCCCTTGCTCATACAGTTCTGAAAGGTGACTTGCTTACAACCCGACAGCTGAGGAGGGGAAAATTGATTTAATAGTTAAGGGTAGCTTCTTGTAAAAGGGGTACTAGGAGATGGAGCAAATTCAAGACATTTTATTCCCCCTTAGCATTTTATTTCTAACTCTGCTGTTAATTTCCCCAATTTCTGCCTAGTTTTGCATCTTTCTGTGTGGCTACCTTTCCTAGAAGGCGGAAAACTTCTGGGATTGGTTTTTTTTTTTTTCATCCTAACTTCCCAGAGTCCTTTGCTTAGGGTCTAATATTCAGTAACGGCTCAAATGTTTCCTAAAACGAAAGAGCCCAGAGGTCTGGTGGACCACGCTCGGACTGCTACCTCCGCATGTGTGATGTTTCGACAGAGGTAAGGAGCGAAGCCCCTGCAAGCTCTTTACCTGTCTACTCCTACAACTCTGACCCCTTACAACCTTTTAATTCATCAGGAAGGAATGAAGTGAACTGTACCCTGAGGACACATCCTTAGCCTAAGGACAAAGTCCTCTGGTCATGTGGAAAGAGCTTTTTCCAAACTTCCCCATTTGCTCTTTAACTATGTAAGAAAATCTAAAGGCTCTACTATGAGAAAAGGAAAAATTCATTAGTACACCCAAGCTCTGCAAAAATTACCACTTCAAAAGTGATTTTTTAAAAACTTTTTTTTTAAAGTGAACATGAATGCAATTAAGACATGCAGGTGTCAAATTTTCTGTCCATGTTAGGGCATGCAATATTGATTAGTTGGAACAAATCAAAACCCTTTTCATTTTCTTTATAACTCAGTTAATAATTCATGGTTCAAAAAAGGGACTAAAAAAGGTCTAAAAAAATCTCAAGTAAAGACTTTGATCATAGTGCTGTTATTCTATAGGAAACTCTAAAGCTATCAAAAACATCATAAATTATATATAAACACTCACTTCTTAAGGCACACTAGTATTAGGAAGATCAAAACCTACTAGCAAAAAAATGTTATTTCCTTTCAGTAAACAACTAACAATTAACTGGATTTTCTTCTTTTTTTAAATTTAATTTTATTATGTTATGTTAATCACCATACATTACATCATTAGTTTTCGATGTAGTGTTCCATGATTCGTTGTCTGCGTATAACACCCAGTGCTCCATTCAGTATGTGCCCTCTTTAATACCCATCACCAGGCTAACCCATCCCCCCACCCCCTCCCCTCTAGAACCCTCTGTTTGTCTCAGAGTCCATAGTCTCTCATGGTTCATCTCCCCCTCCACTTCCCCCCCTTCATTTTTCCCTTCCTACTATCTTCTTCTTTTTTTTTTTTTTTAACATATAATGTATTATTTGTTTCCCAGGTACAGGTCTGTGATTCAAGTCTTAACATAATTCACAGTGCTCACCATAGCACATACCCTCCCCAATGTCTATCACCCAGCCACCCCATCCCTCCCACCCCCCACCACTCCAGCAACCCTCAGTGTGTTTCCTGAGATTAAGAATTCCTCATATCAGTGAGGTCATATGATACATGTCTTGCTCTGATTGACTTATTTCGCTCAGCATAATACCCTCCAGTTCCATCCACATCGCTGCAAATGGCAAGGTTTTGGGGTTTTTTTTGATGGCTGCATAATATTCCATTGTATATATATATACCACATCTTTATCCATTCATCTGTCGATGGACATCTTGGCTCTTTCCATAGTTTGGCAATGTCCACAATAGTGGACATTGCTGCTATAAACATTGGGGTGCATGTACCTCTTCGGATCACTACATTTGTACCTTTGGGGTAAATACCCAGTAGTGCAATTGCTGGGTCATAGGGTAGCTCTATTTTCAACTTTTTCTTCTAATTACTGATCATGCATCGGATTTATTTCAGTTCATGTATACAAACATTCCATGATTTTGTATTTTCGTTTTAATTCTAAGTTCACTGACATACCTGGCAACCACACCTTGGTTCAAACTCTTTGGGGGAAATTTCTAAAAGTGATCTGTAATGTATCTCCCACAAGATATCATTGTGTACTTATTATAGAGAAAAAAGTCCAGGTCCTTGAGACAAGTGATGGAGACAGCAGGGGCACCCTGGCAAAGAAGCAACATTGAAATAATTTCTCTAATTTGTCTAATTCTACCTTGTTAAGTCTTCCTAATAATAAAATTGAATGAGGTTTAGAAATGAATGGATTTTCTTCTCCCAGGGACCAACTAGCAAATCGATTTAGGAATAACCTTCTTTGCCCACATATGCTAACTTGACTTAACCCAGCGCACTGAAAATCCATCAAAATATAGTTCAGCTTATCCCTTCAGGATAACAGAAAAACAAAAACAAATACAAAGTTAGCGTCGTCCTCACTCAAGGTACTGCTTTTATTTCCCTTCGAAGACAGCAACACAGTAGCTATAAAATGGAGCGTCTCCATTTTTACTCATCCATCTCGTCTCAAGAAATAACCACCCTGAACCAAACTGCAGCCTCAACTTGCTTAAATGAGTGCTCTGTGATGAACTACCAACAGCCTTTCCCAAGCAGTGCTTGGGTTCTTATTGGAATGTGCTCATTTCTCTTATAATCTTAAAAATGTATCTTCACTTGTTATAATAAACTGACTATATTTACAAATGACCATAAAGAGTAATCATGGTGAGTCCTTATCAGTGAGAGAGAGAGAGAGAGAGAGAGACAGCCTCTTTCTGAAATAGCATAATTTAGGGTTCAATATTTAAGATATAATATTCCAACATTTTCAGCTGTTGGACCTGGTCCATAGAATTTAAATTAAATAGTCTGCCTGTCTTCTTCCACAAATTCTTTAAAAAAAAAAAATCTTTAAAGTCAGATTACTTTTTCAGGTCAGAGGACCAATTTGAAGTCACATTTTCTATCCTGTAATATATTCCTTTCATCCTCTTCACTTTCCATGAAAATAAACCAGTCTAAGATTGCATGGCATCTCTATCCTCAGAAAGCCTTCACACACAAGTTTCCTGCTGGTCTGGCATGACACTTGGCACTCTGAGGTTTTCCTGTCCCTGCAGGCCCTAGAATATATTCAGGCTTTCAGCCAAGAATCAGGAGGTTGGAGTGCAAGGGCTATTTGCCAGCATCTAAAACAGAAGCAGTTCACTTTAACACTATACTTTGCGACATCCGTTTATTAGAGCATTTGTTAGAGCCCAACACTGTTGTGGGAAAAGAACACCCCCACTGGGATGCTCCAAGGGTAAACTTCATCTCCTCTCACAGAGCCCACATAGGAGAGATCTAGTTTCCATCCTGACATGGTGAGATTTTCATGAAAGCCACCTGAAGCCCTCTGTAGTGAAGGTCGCACGTTCTAGAGAACAGAGCCCTGCCTCCCAAGCCAGCATACTGAATGGGCTTCTCCCTTCAGTCACCGAGTAACTCTGCAGAGGTCACCTGCCCTTCCTGTCTCAGATTGTGTCCACACACAAAGAAAATTTAGGTTAGAAAAACGCTTTAGCTTCAAGAATGCAGATGCTAGAAGTGTTTGCCTAAGTCATAAAATATTAGAGAAGAATTATAAAGCTACAAAGTAGGTATAAACACATTTTTTTTCAGTTACAAAGTTTCTAAGAACTATAACAGGATTAGAACAATGCTCTCACAATTAATCAAAGTAATATAGATTTGAAGGCTCTATTTCAATGGTAGGTGAAAATAACAGCAAGAAGAATACAAAGAATGTAGAAAGCACATCTTTCTCTAAGGTGCCCAAATGCTTCATGAGCAACCTGCAGCGTACCCAACAGGCCACTCGGAGGACAGGGGTGGCAAAGAAAGCAGAACTAAAAAGCCTGCTTCAGTCTTAATTCACCCAAGTCTAGCTCCTGCCTTGGCAGCATACCTTGCTGCTGTTGAAAGACACTCGTACCCCTTCTTATGGCCGGGCGCTGCAGTGGGACATACAGCAAGAGGCGAGCTCTTCTCCCAGAAAAGTGAGTCTCTGTATTGCCCCCCATCTCTCTATTTCCCTTTCCTTTTCTTCCCTTACATTCAAATTTGATCCCTTACTTACAAAGTTTTTGGGGATAGCCATACCCTCAGAAAATAAGACCTGCATTTTCCATTGGGTATAAGGAAAGAAAAGCGTGCCATACCTTGTGTAAACTGAGTCACACTGTGGTTGCCTCTGTCCAGGTTGAGGAGATATCCGTGTTGAGGGGCCTCTGTCACAATAAACCTGAGAGAAAAATGTAGACTGTCTCTGTCCTCCGCTTTCAATATTTTGCTTGTGATCATGAACCCCAAGTGACCAGTAGCCAGAGTGCGAAGTGTGGAGGCCCCTTTGTTCATGGCAATTTGGGGGACACTATCGTCAACAGCTAAGACCTGGATTTTCATCACTTGGGGTCTCCTTGTTTCAAATATTGTATCAGGGAAAACATAGAACTCTGTATGGGAACCATCAGTCACCGTGAAGGAGAAGCTGTCTTCACTCGACTCAGTGCCATCATGTCTGTAGCTGATTAAGTTTTCATTCAAGTCTTGCTTGGTAAAAACCGTGGTAGGTCTGGTATTGTTGAATAGGAGTTGACCATGAACAGGCACCTGGGTGACAATGAACTTCAGAAGTTTGTCAGGAGTATCTCTGTCTTCGGCAGTGAGTTCAAAGGGAGTGATCAGCTTGTTTTCACCCTCACTGACAACCAGGTTATGGATGGTGACCACTGGCTTTTTGTTATCCACATCACTAATGGAGATTCGGAATGTCCGAAAGACAGGGTTACGTCCATCGGTGACTTGAAACTCAAAGCTGTCCATCTTGACTTCATCTTCAGCTGTGTGGATGTAGTAGATTTTGTTGCCAGCCAGTTGGAGCTGAGTGAAAGATGTGACGGATGCTCCAAGTTGATCTGTGCACTCTAAGTGACCTCTCATGGGAGCCCTGGTGATGGTAAAAACTAAGTTTTCATCAGGACTGTTCAAGTCACTGGTGCTTAGTAGGTCTGTTGTGAGAGTGACTTTGCCACCTTCTTTCAAGGATACTCCCTTGCTTATCACATCTGGGAAGACAATGTCTATGTTCCCAATGGAAACATAAAAGTAGCGATCTATGAGGGCATTTATTCCATCAGTCACATCAAATTTAATTAGGTCCCGAATGCCCTCTTGTCCAAAATGGACATACTGGATTAAGTTTCTGTCCACTTCATCCTGGGTGAAATTCATGCCCAGTGTGATATTTTCAAAGGCACCTGTAGGTTTTTGTCTCTGCAATAAGCCATGTCCTGGCCCATAACGAATAATATAAACCAAAGATTTGTCTTCAGAGTCCAAATCAGTTGCCATTAATATTTTGTTGTTGATAATTTTGGTTTCCCCAATTTCTATTTCTAATCCATTATTGATAGTCATTCTGGGGGTTTCATCATCAACTGGGATAACTATAATGAGGACCATCCTTTCCACTGAGTGCTTACCATCCGTTAGTCTAATCACAAAACTGTCTTCCTGAGTCTCAGAGTCATCATGCTCATAAATAATGCTTGAACTCTCTATGATCTGGTCCAAGGTGAAGCTTTCAACCAAAACTGTGCCATTTATCAGCTGGTTCATGATGTGACCGTGAGTAGGAAATTGGGTAATAGTGAAAGTTAGATCATCCGGGGGGATGTCAGCATCAGCAGCATTGAGGATGGGCGTATCGATCACCAGACTCATGCCTTCCATCACCATAAATTCTCTCATAAATATTTCCGGCTGTTCATCATTGGTGGGAATGATGACAATGGGGAAAAAATGTCTCTCTGAAAAGTTAATGCCATCAGAGCAACGAAATATAAATCGGTCTTCCACAGGTTCGACCCCTTTATGGACACTCTGGACATAGTTAATATGACTCTGCCTGAGGTCTTTCAGGGTAAAGGCACTTACGGCAATTCCTGCTCTTGATTTCTCAGAGCCTGGAGCTGGAGAAATGTTTTCAACATAACCGGAGGTAGGCTGAATAACTATGGTGCACAAGATGTCATCAGTTAGTGAATCAGTATCTTCAGCACTTATATGTGTTGAGGTTATAACACTTTTATCACCTTCCACAACTATAAACTGTTCATCCACAGAAATTTCTGGAGCCTGGTTATCAACAGGGAGGATGGTCACCCACATGGTAACTCCTTGGATAGTACTGCCACCTATTACCCATTCTTGAGACATATCTGACAGACTCAGGTTAAATGAGTCCCCTCTGGGCAACAGGCCTATCTCACCACTAGTGTGGGCATAGACGACAGAGCCCTCTAAGATGTCCCTTTGGGTAAACTGCTCTACTGGAACTCCGTTGACCAGGATTTCTCCATATAAGGGTGGATCTTCCAAGACGAAAGTCAACATCAAATCATCAGTGTCCTCATCAGTCCCCTTGATTACACTGGCAGTGATTTCAGTAGCTCCATTTTCTAGAACATCTAGATATGACCCCAGAGTGCCAGCAGGAAGGCTCAGTGTGGGGGCCTCATCATCCGCTGGCCGGACATTCACTCTGAGAGTGATGGGCACCACGTGGTGTCTGTCGCTGACCTCCAAGGAACAGCTATCGGTGAGAGACTCATCTCCATTATGGGCATAGGAAATCCGACCCTGTTTTATGTCTTCCAAGTAGAAGACCTCCCCTACATGCAGTACCTGTCCAGACACCCTCATGTGGCCATGTTTGGGCGCCTGCGTGAGAGTGAAAGAGATGTGGGTGACGTCAGTGTCTACATCATCCACACTCAACTCAGTCTCACTCAGGATGTGGTGTCCCTTCTCCTGAATGGTGAAACCCGTGTTGAGGATCTCAGGAGGCTGGTTGTCCACTGGCTGCAAGTAAAGGGTGAAGGTGCCCGGAGCCACATTCCCAGCTTGGTCCTCCACCTGGAACTGGAACTGGGCCACTCGGGCAGCCACTCCCAGTTCTTGCTCCGGGGGTCTGTAAGCAATTTTATGGTGGTTGATCTGGGCTTGGGTAAAATGGGCCACGACGACTGAGGGGTTGTCAGTCAGGACCAAGGTGCCCAGTGGGGCTGGCGAGCGGTTTTCATCTGTGTCCATGGGGGGCTGGGTCACTGTGTAACGCAGTTCTCGGTCATCTGTGTCCAGGTCAGTGTAGCGAAGCCACTTCCTCCTCAGCGGGGTGAGCTGGGATTCCTGCACCACCATCCGAAGGGGACAGCCACTGCCCAGCTCTGGAGGGAGGCGATCCACAGGATGAATGCGTAACACAAACCTGTGTGGTCCCGATTGATTAGGGGGGTCATGGTTATCCTGGACTCGAAATGTGAACTGGTCCATCACTGGCCTGGGACTATGGGGCCCCGAGTGCCTGTAGAACAGCCTCCCCTCAGTTATGTCCTGCTGCTGCCACTCTGTCACCGTTTGCTCATAGAATGCTCCCTGTCTCCTCCAAGGGCCCCTGCTCAGTTCCTCCTCCTCATCCTCACGGGGAGGATGAGTTTGGCGGAGAAGCAGATGCCCTACGGTTGAGGAGGGCGGCTCCAGCACAAAAAGCAGCAGAGAGTCATCTGAGTCAATGTCAGTTGCACTTAGAGCAAGCGGCAGGATGGGCGCCGTTTCACCTTCGGCCAGTGTTAGCCCCGTGTTAGCATTGAGGACTGGTGGTTGGTCATCCACAGGCACTAAGGTGATGGGGAACAGGAACTGCACCTGGTGCCTGCGTCCTCCATCCACCATTCGAAGGACAAGGTTGTCACTCAGTGAGCCGTCTTTGTCATCATGATGGTAGACCACCTGGCCGGCTGCTAGCTCAGCCACCGTAAAGGTCTTAGGGGCAGCATTGCCATCGGTGGCACCCAGAAGGACAAGGTGACCGTGCCGGAGCCCAGCCACCACCTCCAGCTGCACTGCCTCCAGGTCATTCTCGTCGCTGATGACCAAGTTTTGTGGTCCGATGCCCGCAGGGCCTGTAAGGGGCCGGGACTGGCCCTCGTAAAGAATGAGACCCGTGTTCCGGGTGACCACGGGAGCCAGTGTGTTCATGGGCTTCACTACTACCATAAAAGCAAAAGGGTCTGAGGCAGCTCCTTCCGGGTCCACTACCTCCAACTCCAGTTCAAAGAGACGTTCCTGGTCAGAGTCCTCAGATGGGGGCTGGTAGGCAATCTTCAAGAGCCGCAGGTCCCGCTGAGTGAAGGAGGAGAGGGGCAGGCTACGATCATCAGTACTTACTAGGTAGCCCTGGCCAGGCTGGAAAGGAGAGGTGAGGTTGAAGATCAACAGGTCAGGGGGCGACTCAGCATCCTCGGCGGCCAGCATGTCTGGGGTCAGGGCGGTGAGTACAAACTGGTCCACCTCCATCATCATCATGGCCACGAAACTGGGCTTGGGTGCGGTGTTCTCAGCCCCTCCTCGGATTCTCACCAGCACCTGGAAGTGCTCACGCTTCAAAGCAGGCCTGCCCACAGGCGAACCTCGAGAGCGCAGCTCCACCACCATGGGCACCCAGTCCCTATTTGGTGACCGACTGGGGGCCGTGTGGCGGTACCGCACGCCTAGCTCCTGGAAAGCTCTGCAGTCCATCAGGAGAGGCTCCTGGGCGCCCCCCTCGCTGGCTCCACCCGGAACCTGCGGGTAGTGAAGGAGTTCCCCGTAGCGAGGCAGCGCGCTCAAGCCGGACAGGATGCCCACGCGACACTCCTCGGTCTCGGGCTGGTAGGCGAACTCCAGGCTCCGCGCGTCCAGGGCATTGCTGGTCCCCAGCAGCCCCTCCACGACGAGGGGCAAGTTCCGAGTCACAACCTCCAGCTGGGTGAAGAGCACCTCCACCTCCAGCACCAAGGGTAGCACTGCTGCCCCTCCCGACGCGTCGTAGCGCAACTGCAGCCGAATGCGATCCCGCGACGGGCTGCGCGCGCCCAGGTGCGAGTAACGCACCTCTCCCGGGCCGAAGTCGCACCGGAAGCGCTTGGGACTCAGGCGGCCAGGCCTCTGGGCCAGCGCGTCGTTGTCTAGCACGGTCACCGCGCAGCGGTCCCCCGTCTGCACCTGCAGCACCAGGTCGTGCAGAGGATCCAACCAGACCTCGCGGCCGAAGGGCACCCGGAGCCCACGGTTCGCCAGCACTATGGCCTCCTCCGCGGGGACCCCTGCAGCCCCCGCGAGATCCGGGGACAGCAACGCCCGGCTAGGGGCAGCGGGCTGTGCCGGGACGCAGCTTACCAGTGACAGGAGAAGCAGCAGCAGCAACACGAGGCGGGGCGGCAGCGCAGGTATCTGCTGAAAACTGGCGGGGTGGGACACCCCGCCGGAGCCGGAGGCGATCCCGGGGGTCCTGGCCACGTGCATGGTCCGGGTGTTAGAGTTCGGACAGGTCAGCCTGAGAGAGCGCAGTCAGTCCCCCGGCAGGGAGCAAGAGAGCCCTCTGGAAAGTGCCTGGAACCCCGTACTCTGTAGCTGCGGCTGGGCCAGGTTGGAAAGTTGCGCGGGCCGGGCCGGGCTGGCGCTGCTGCGGAGGCTGAGCCGCCCTGGCCGTCCCGCTCCGCCGCCTGCCGCACACTGGCTGGGAGAACCGAGTCCCTCCACTCCTGCTTCCCAGGTCCCGGGACCTAGAGCTTTGAGGGAAACTCCTCCCCTAGCACCCCAGTCCTCCCAGGAGGCCAATCGTTGGTCCCGGGAGGAGGCCCCGAGTCCAGGGTTGGGTAGTGGTATCTGCCAATCAGCTCCTAGGGGCGGAGGCGGGGAAACCGTGCGGAGGGGAGGAGAGACAAGGCGCTACAAGTTGTCCTGGAAGCGACTGGGGGTCTCGGGGTGCCCACCTTTGCTCACGTTTCGCTGTGGGATGCCAGGGTTGGGGTTCCAGCAGAGGAGTCGGGACATGCGGCTGGGCTTAAATCAGTTCTTCAGCTGCCTGGGATCCAGGATTACCCATTTTAGCTCCCATCCCCTTCGATTCGATGCAGTCTCGCGCGGGGGAGTGTGTGGTTATTGCTCTCTGAAATTTGCAAACCGGAGAGGAAAGTTATTCGCAATGTCTCTTGTGTTTGATTCGAAACCCAGAGCAGTTTGGGAAGAAAGGCTGGGGCATATTTGCAAAAGAAGGACAGCTAGAATCAAAAGCCAATGCTAGAGCAGGTTGCTCACACACACACACACACACACACACACACACACACACACACACACACCCCACCCCACCCCACCCGGGGCCGCTGCTGTCTCCTCGTAAATTACAAGGGGCACAGTCCTTGGTGGTGAGTTTTAAACAAGCCCCTCCTTTGCAACCAAAGTTCAGAGTAATAGTAAAAGTGAGGTGGGGGGGGGGGTCGGGAGGGACATTTGGAATGCGTGAGAAATGCAGTCAGTCCGATCGGAATAAGCGAGACTAGCCCCCAAAATAAGATCTAGGGAATGTAGCCCCAGGCTCTCCCAAAGCAGCCGCTGTTCGGGTAGCTGTCGTTAGAAACGTTCCTGTTCTCTTTGCAGTAATTAGACCAAGTACAAACTAAACCTACTTGTCAGCATCACGTTTCTTTGCATGCCAAGAAAATTGATAAATATCCGGAGGGCCAACGAAAATAGGTCAGCTCCCGTTTCAGTGAGCCGGTTTTTAAGCCAGAGTTTGAGCTCTTCCTGCCCCCTTGTGTTTGTGCGGTTTGAGAAGTGTGCGATTCCCCTTCTGCAAGGTTTCTAACAGCACCCACCTCTTCGAAGAAAAAAGAAGAGACCTCACAGTTAAAACCCAGCCATTTCCAGATTCGTTTCTTGAGCAGTCTTTACTTACCCTGATCAAAATGTTTTCTTTTGGAGAATGTTGTTTTCTGTTCAGTAACACAAATCAGATTATTAGTCGGAATATAGAATTGGAATCATGGTCATCCTGCCCTTTTCCTGTTTAAAAATAGTTTAGATTTGGCAAAGAAAAGAGTGTAAGACACTGCTGTGACATTTTCAATTTCAGTCAAAACTGAAGATCTAAAACGCATATGGAGGTACATTTCGGTAAGAAATACTTTATTAACCCTTCCAGGATGTTCCCCTGAGCTTCTCCAGTCCAGAATTTTGATCCCTGCCAGCACACTCACAGCTACTTTCCGGGTCACAGCCCAGCCTCTATATGGAGTATTGCTGGGAAGTGTCAGATTCTGCTCCAGGAAGGCCACTGAGCCATGTCTGTCCCTGGGAGTTAGAGATGGAAAATTCTGAAATCTTTTAAAAAGAAGCCAGACACAGAGAGAGAGAGAGATTAATTTAAAGGAGCCACTCATACCAGCAAACAAATGACATTTAGTTAATTGAATATTAATCGAACTAATTCTTAATGCTTTGCACTTCGGGGGAGCTTTTAACTCCCACTTATGATTGATGAATACATTTCACAACTTAGTATAAAATGAGCATCCAGGAACCTAGAAGGGATGTGGCTGAAATTTTAAACATATGAGAAAACCCCCATCCAAGTCCACCGATTTCCAATTTACTTTGGTGTTATTATTTTATAGCTTCTTATAATGATTCATTATTGCAAACAGAATTCAAATTGCAGTAACAAGGGGAAATTTTTCTCTTTCCCGTTCACAAATAGAACAAATGGAAAGATGCCAAATGAAATAGAACATCAGTTTCAGAATATGGTTCTTTATATATTATATTTCAAATTCTGGTTACATACTTTGAAAACTGTCAACTGGGAGCTGAGTGATTCTTATTCAGGCATTGTGACCCTGGGTCCACTCTGACCAGGACCAGACCAACAGCCTGACCCCTTGATGCTTCCCAGTGGCTCCAGGCTTTTCCTTTCTTCCTTTTAAAGTCCAACTCTGTTTGACTTGCAAGCGATGATAAGATCAGCATTTGAAGTATGGTAGTATGCCCAAAGGGCAGAGTTCAGTATTTTGTTTCATGGTAAGAAGAATAGAGGTCCACAGTTATTTTTAAGTAGCCTAAGGAAATCAATAAACTGTAATCTTTTTTTGACTTTTTAATTTAGACTGCCTTGAAGTGATGGAATGATTCTTACTCTTCTTTCTTTTTTTTTTTTTGGAGGAGGGGTAAGTGCCTTCATTATTTGTTGTTTTTTTTAATCACATAGGAAGTAACACATACTGTGATTTGCTTAAATATATTTTGCATTCATAGTTATTGATAAAATAGTGAAATATTAAATTCTCATCTGCAAGCATTATTTATGATGATAATCTCTCTTTAGGGTGAATACCTCAGTGTTAAAAGATTTCTATACCTAAGTGGCAAGGAAATATTATTTTATGGCCAGTAGTCTTAATATCATAAGGGGTTAAATAAACTGGCAAACTTGTAATTTTTTTAAATCTGAGCTTAATTATTCAGTGCTCCTTTCATTATCCTTGTAACACTGACTGTGCTTCCTCTGGGCAAAATATCTTTTTTAAATTCTTAAAGTTGCTTAGCATATGAAAAACATGCTAAAATGTCCCCTCAAATCAACTTAAAGCTGAAATTATTCATTGTTAAAACTCAAATGACCTCTGACCTAGGGTTAAGCACCAGAGAACCTATTTCCTAAAATAAAGAAGGTTATGTGATGAATTCAAGATACAAGCGAGATATTCAGGTGTAAACTGACTCTGGTTAAATTTACACCAGGTTAAATTTTGAATATAACGTTGTCATTCCAAAGTTTATTTCACTTTTCTTATATCACTCTCCTGGCCTGTAAGACCCCCTTAGAAAAGATGGCTTCAAGGACCCCTGTAGAGTGCTCCCAGATGAATGATTGAAGCTTTATGCCGGGCACCTTTAAGAGCTCTCAATAGAATTGTAGTCTTTGATGGCTTCAAAATCATGGCTTGCCTGTAAACACCAAACTTGGCTGACTGCAGAGCAACGCTGAAGGGGGAAACAGCCCTGGACTGATGGACCAAGACCTGGGTCCCCGCCTTGGCTCTGACATCCACTGACCCCCCTCCTCCCCTCCAGGCCTGGATCTGCATGGGAGTTGGGCAAGCCTGGGGAGTTGTACTGTGGGGGCTTAAGATGCAGCTACCTCAGAGCGTGGGGCCCTGCCCCTGGTGGGCTGCTTTGGGTCCCTAGTGCTGGGGGCCTGGCGTGGGGTGAGGCGAGACTGCCCCATCGTAGCCAGGGCAGGCGTGGGTTCCGGGTCAGCTTCACATACCTCGGATGTTCTGTTTGCAATAAATGCCCTAGAGCCAAAAAAAAAACAAAAAACAAAAAACAATTCTCTCTCTTTTGCGACTGTAGTCTCCCTAACTGTAAACCAAGGGACTCAGTCTTCTCAGACAAATTCTCTTTTGGGTCCCCTTTGGTTTTGGTGTTGGTGCTGTGAGACCAAATTTATGGATGACCTGCCATTTGGCTTCCTCAAGTTACTCTTTAGTTTACCGTGCTCCTTCTATCTGCCGGACGGCCTGCGGGAATCAACCGGAAATTTAAGAGCCCTACTAAGCTTGCAGACCCCTTGCTGGAACTTCCTCATTTCATGGGCGAGGAGACAGAACCAAGGAGGTTAAGACCCAGGAGTGGAGCTGGAAAGGCAGAGATAACTGACTGACTGCAAGGTCAGTATCCATACCCTACCTTAAGCTCCAAGTTAGCCTTTAAGGTTGATGTCAAATACTTACTCCCCCGTGGAAATTTTGTTCATCTACCCAACTTAGTATGAGCTGTGCGTCTTTTGACTTTCTCATACCACCTCCTCCCCTTTGCGCCAAATGCCTTTGCTTATATCTCTTATGAGATTCCTCTGACTGTACGTTGTGTTATCGCCGTCTGAGTTCTTGTTGTGCCCTTCACTGTTTTGAAAGCATCTTGAGCTCACAGCCTGCATGTACTCATCCTTTACCTTCATAAAGATCTTAATAAATATTCACTACATGATATTAGATCTCAATTTATCATTTCCCAAGCAATTTCACTTGAAATAACTCAGCCGGATAACTCACAACAGCTTCGCAAGGTAACCAGGTATGTTATTCGGTTTTCTTAGTAGCAAGCGACAGAAACAGACTGGCTGAATTAAGCAAAAAGGAACTGAAAAAAATAGTGAATCGCTCACATCATTCCTGGAAAGGCAGCAACATAAGGCTCAGAAAAGTGAACATGAACCAAAAACCAAACCTTCCACTTGGTGATGGTCTGTGGGGACAGCACTGAGCCACTGCGAGACACTGAAGCCGGCAGGTGACACTCCCACTCCGGCCAACACTAGATGTGAGTCAGCAGCCTTAAAGCCGCTACCTCCGCTGCTCGTGGGCTCACATGTCACTGCAGCCCATGCCCAGAGATTTTTATGTCACCGTCACTGCAAAATCAGAGGTCCGGGCAGGATTGGCTTATCCAAGCTTAAGTCC